TGGTCTTTGCATGAGTACAATCAAGTATTCTATGAATCTTATTTTTCTCGTTGTTAGCCATGACTTGTTATGATCCACATAATCCAACAATTATATCCCTGGTGTTACGATCTCTTCTACATCTAGCTTGAACTTTGTCAGTTCTCTGTCTAGTTTTTACTTCTCTGCCAGATTTTAATTATTTTCAACTGTATTTTTCTTGCTTTTGAAATTAATGATATTGTGAGATAATTTCCAGATTTTGTTGTATCATATTTCTTGGGAATGGAAAATGTATAATTTAGAGATCTATTAATGGAAGGTTAATTCCTTCTATTATATTTCTATAGTAAATAATATTATGTTAAGGTCTCATCTATGGAAAATAATGCAGCTAAAACACATATTTTAGTCTATTAGATGATATGGCATGAGAATATGTGGCATTTTAATTTGAATGAGTATTTTATATTTCTTAAAATACTAACTGAAGATCTTTTTCATTGTTATACACTAGATTACATTTTAGGTTAAATTTCTCTTTGAATTATTAAAAAAAAGCGAGATGATTTTTGCTTACTTTATCCTTTAGCTTCTAGGCCACTTAGAACAAATTGAGGCGATGCCTCAAATAGTGAAAAAGTTTAACAAGACAGCAAGTAATAAATTTTAGAGAGGATGTGGAGATATAGAAATTCTTATACAGAGTTTGTGGGATTATAAAATGGTAAAGTCATTCTGGAGGGCAGTTTGGTGTTTCATAAAAAAAACGGAACATAGGAATTCCATATATCCAGCTCTTCTACCACTCGGAATATACCTTGAGAAAATTAGAACTGAGGCACCAAAGGAGATTTGTACACCAATGTTCATAGCAGTATTATTCACTATTACAAAACCATGTAAACAGCCCAAATATCCAACCACAATCAAATGGATGGAAAGATTAAGGTACATTCACACAATGGAATATGATGCAACATGTAGGAGCAACGATTTTGAAAATTACTACCTAACTTGGGAGGGTCTGGAGAGCATTATGCTAAGTGAACTAGCTCAGTCCCATAAGGACAAATACTGCATAAGACCATTATTGTACAAATAGATAACTAGTAAAACAAGTATGAGGATCCAGCTGGGGGAGGATGGGAGCAAAGGGATGAGAATAGGCGGGGCGGGGGAGGGGAGGGTGGTGGTAATCTTAGGTTCTCACAGTTTGATGGGTGGAGGGAGGGGTGAATAAAAGAACTAGGAAAGATCTGTTGTGAAAAATAATGTATACAGATTTTGTAAGCAAACCAGAATGAGAAAAGTTTTATTTTTAGAAGAAAAAAGAATCTATATAAATTGCACTTCATTTGTAAGGTCTTGATAAAGCTAAATCCCATTCTCAGTTTATATTCCATACTATCAATTTAATTATTACACAATTAATACAGACATTTACCAAAAAAAACCTGCCTAGATTGGATCTTTAAAAAAGAAAAAATGATGAGCATTTGGTGTTCCAGATAGAGTACTCAAAAATGAATAAATAATGGATAATGCACTCAAGGTACTTAGAACCTAGCGGAGGTTGTTGCGACAAACACTGTGCTTTTTATTCATTTCATGTGCTACAAGGGAGCTTTAAATGGCTTGGAGCTAAGGAATTGTACTGTCAATACAAAGACACATGGCTTGAATCCACCCAGCTGCTACAAAGGAAAAAAGATGAGCAATCTTCTCCTGTCGAATTTACTGCATTTAAATACCAGTTACAGGGCCCACTATGGGTTTATGGTTCTGACTATTTGGTATTCAATAGCAACAACAGCAGATGTTATGAAGGGAAAGGAGGCACAGGAAGACTGGGCAAGATTTAGAGATATGGTTGAGCTAAACTTTAAAGAAAGAATAAAATTCATTAGGTGATTATTCAGAGGAAAATATATCAGATTATTTTATAATTTTATCTATTCAAAAGTATTTATTCTGAAAGTATTATTTCTGAGCTCTCCATATATACTCTTCAGGATGGCAAAGAAAGAACTCTGATTTTTCTATAGCTTTATGCAACTGCTTCCCTGTTTTATATGCCTTTAAGCTTATCCTATTAACTATTTTTCTTTTTATTATGGCTCTACCTCAACCTTTTCCCTATATATTATCACTTTTTCATTGATATGATCTATAAAAGGGACTTCATTAATTAGCTGCTTTTTCTTGTCATTCATTTGATCTACACTGAAATTAGGTGTTTTAGATGCATAACTTCTTTGGGCCATTATTTCCAAGTTCAATGAATGTACTCATAAGTGCCTTTTATGTTTTCATCTTTAATTTCCTGGTATCTTAGGAGGATTTTTTTAAACTTACATTCTTCTTTTAAGAAAGAAATGAAGTATATATTTCACTAGAGTTTAATAAGCTTTTGTCATATACAATGACCTCATATGAAGTTCAATTTCTTTGCAAGAACATTAAAAATTCAACTGATTCATTAGGAATTGAAATTAATACTAGATGCTAAAGGAATGCTAAAATGGTCTTATATTAATATCATTAATCAGCTCTTGTATTGTTGTTGTTAGGTGTGGTTGAGTATGACTCATCGCTACCCTATAAACAACTGATCTGAACCCTGTCCTATCTTATGCCATTTTCACACTTCTTAACACACTACAGCCCGTTGTGGCACTGTGTCAATCCACCTGGTTGAGGGTCTTCCTTTTCTTTGCCAACCCTCTGTCTCTTCAAGGTTGGTGTCCCTCTCCAACCACTAGGCCTTCCTAGCAACATGCCGGAAGTATATAACGTGAAGCTTTACCATCCTTGTCTCCCAGGAGCACTCTGGCAGTACTTTCTCCAAAATACATTTGTTTATTCTTTTGGTAGTTCATAGGATATTCAATACTCTTCTCCAACGCCACAGCTCAAAGGGGTCAATTCTTCTTCTGTCATCCTTAGTCATTGTCCAGTTCTCAGATGGGTAGCAAGTGATCACAAAGATCACGGCCTGTATCAGACACACGTTAGTCCTCAAACTTACATCTTTGCTCCTCAATAATTTGGGGAGGTCCCTGACTGCAGACTTTCCCAACGCAATGTCTCCTGATTTCCTGACTGCGGGTACCAAGAGTGTTTATTGTGGATACACGTAAGATGAAGTCATTGACAGTCCTAATCCTATACATTAAGACTGCACATTAGCATCTGTAAATTCATCACTACAAATGTAGTTCAGGCCAGCACATACTACCAAATGGTTAAAACAATAACAGCATTATGCAACCAACATTAGCAACAAACAAAACAAATCTGCTCTCTCCACTCTCTGTTAATTGGTATTTCAGCTACAGTTGTGTTTTTATCCAATGAGCTTCTAATACAGTATAATATTTCTACGGATAGCGAGTGAATTTTTATGTTTGTATCTTCTTCAGGGTTTAGGATAATTCTTTGGTCCTAATACATGTGTTTGACATAGTAAGCCAAAAAGAATAAAATGAATAGTTAGAATGTGTTGAAACCTTTTACCTGACTTAAGTGACAATACTCTTCTAAATCACTATTGATATTCATGGCATCAATAAACAAACAACTTTAAAAATAAACAGCCTAAATTATATGGGTATTAATTGTTTAAATTCTGTCTCATAAAGAATGTTGTTACGCATTTGTCTGAGTTAGTATCTCACTGAGGGTAGATCATCCTCTATAAACTTCAAATTCTAATCTGTACGTGTTGTTGTTGTTGTGTACCACTGAGTCAGAACAACCCATAGCTGACCCTCTAGAAGGTTTTCAGAGGCCATTAATCATATGGGAGGAGATTGTCTATCCTCCTTTCGAGCAACTGGTAGGTAGCCTCAAATAGCTTGCCTTTGGGATTGCAGCATTGCTGCAAAAGGTCCTTTTTCACTTTTTTTAAAATTATGATTTGGTAGTAAACTGTTTTAAAAAGTAAAAGATCTTGTTTGATAACTAAAAATTGCTATGTGGTTTGTTTTTGTGAATATTTCCTTTTTTTAAAAAATTATATATATTTAAATTTTATTTACTTTGTTTTTATAGTTGCTGAGAATATACATAGGAAAACAACCAATTCAGCAATTCTGTCATATATTATTCAGTGACAGTGATTACTGTATGAACTGTGCAACTCTTATCAAGCTCCTATTCTGAGTTGCTCCTCCCTTATTAACATAAGCTCACTGTTCCCTAAGATTATTGCCTGAACTTTCAAGTTGCTGATATTAATATTAATTTGGTCCCATAAAGATAGTTCTCAAAAGAACATTATCCTAAAAGCAGACATTTTTTTTGTCCCTTGGTTTGGAAATTTAGGGTCATGGTTTTATGGGACACATCAGCTAAGAGACCTAAAAATATATGTATTTTGTGCTTTTATTTGATCTGTGTCCTAGTTTTCTGAGTAGTGCCTGGGATCTTAAAAGTTTGCACATAGTCATCCAAGGCACAACTGATCTTCATTTGTCTGCAGCAACAGACAAGAGGAAAATGAGGACTCAGAAAAAGATAGGCAATTTGTGGCTGACTAGGTGAATGAATAACTTCCACTCATACCATGAAGTTTGGTTACCAAAACTAAGGATTTTTTTTATGAGCAAATAGTTTAATTAAACATTAAGAGCCACACTAAGGAATTTTATCAAGAATTCTACTAAGAATCTTGATCAAAAAGAGAAAAGCTCACACAGAATTCTAATTTTGAAGACCTCAGACTTTTCGGAGTCATGAAGACTGTATGAATCCCTGAAAGTATTGCCCTTGAGATGCTCTTTAGTGTTAAGAAGAATCCCAATGAGATAGCTTGACACCGTGACTGCAAGAATGGGTTTGACTGTGACAGAGATTGTGACAATGGTGTAAGGTAGGGCAAGGTTCAGATCTGTCGTTCACAGGGTTACAATAAGTCATAGTTGCCACCTAACAACAACAGCAATTATGACTGCCTTGGTGTTCTTTTAAATTTAATTATTATTTCCTTTTGAAAAACATAATTCTTGCCATCTTACCTATATGTTGTCCATACATGTGATAAAAGAAGCTGAAACAATATGCAGTGTTCGTGGGTCCATAAGGGTTTTTGGGCGCTATGCTAAATACAGGGCTAAGAAGTCGAGCCTTCTCTCCTTCCAGTCGGGGTCGAGATGTCTCAATGTACATATAAAAACCTTTAAAAAAATAAAGCATTTGAACAGGATTATCAGGTAACATGGAATTTTAAACCATTGAGAAATTTTAGAGTCTTCATAGAAAGTAAGGACTAATAAGTGAACATGTACTTCATTTATGTAATATGTGTTTACTTAAATAATAAATGATGACTTTCACATAATGATCTAAAGAAATTACAAACTACAGATACAGCAGTTAAAATTTCTTTAAAATGAGACAAAACTTGAAATTTATTTTGAATGAACTTCAAAAATACATTTTCTATCTTTATGTGTAAGTCAGAGTTCTAAGACTAAAGGAACATTATAAGTATGAAAATGTAAAATAATCATTAATATATACACATTTGTTTGTACTTTTAAGATCACAATAAAATAATCTCATTTATTCCACATATAAGCAATATTTTATAAATTTTAGGGCTTAATTATTTATAAATTTATAGTCTTTTCATTGAATGCCCTTCATAACCTCATACCTTCTTTGGAGCCACTACGATCAGCATTTGGTCCTGTGTTAGGAGTATATTTTGTATTCCTTGTTGCAGTACTTTGTTTTGTCCAGTCAAAATTATCTGTATCATCTTGGGTGAATAAACAAATGTTACCATCTTCAAAACCACAGTGAAATTCCCCTGTAAAAATGGAATTAATATTAATGTTGCAATACCCATAATAAAGTTTAAATCATGACAAAGCAGTATAAAGAAGCATCATCACAATAATGCAAAAGCAATAAAAATGCACAAGGTTAACAAAAAGTATTCCAATTTGAATGAAAAAGAATAACTATCTTTTATGAGATAATTAAGCCTCCAATAATTTTCCCTTAAATATTCAGACAACTGAAATGAATAGTGCTTGAATCACATGATGATGAACCTTCACACATTTTTTTTCCTGGAGGTATAATAACAATCATAATAAAACTGTCAACAGTAAATTACCTTTATTCATTTATCTGACAACATTTTAAAGATGTATACCTTGAATTTATGTCATGTTTGTAAAGTGTTTCCATGTAAAGTCATTTGTGATGGGTTGTTGTTAGGTATCATCAAGTTGACTGGAACTCACTGTGACTCGATGAATAGATTGGAACCTTGCCCTATCCTATGCCATTCTTACCATCTCCACTTTGCTCTTCCCAGCTCGATTGTTACAGTCACTGAATCAATCCATTTTGTTGAAGGTATTCCTCTCTTTCACTGACCCTTTATCTTTCCTAGCAGTATTATCTTTTATCCAGGATGGGTCCTTCTTGACAATATGTTCATTCATTTGAAGGGAGTCGGATAATAAAAGATTCTTTTGAAAGTGTTTAGCATTCAAAATTTATTTGAGTTTTCAAGATGCTTGAAATGCACTTGAAATGGCATTCAAAGAAGAGGCTTTATAAATTTGTGTAGAAGGATTAGAATTCTTCTGACTGCCTACCACACTCAGTAATTGAGATTCAGCACAAGTTCAGAGGGAGCATTAATCAATCGTACCTGCAATGCATACAGCTGCTACATTTCTAGGCACTCCATGGTTTATTACTGGGACCTTCTTTACTTCAAAAACACGAGTTTAACAATGAAATATTTGATAACATCTACAACAATAGAAGATTTGATAACACCCTCAACATCAAAATGTCAACATTTTGTTTTTAATTGGGAAAAATTAGAAATATAATTTATATTAATTACACCAATGAATCTCATAACCACTCTGGGTATCATTATAATCTTGAACTGTGATGCTCACAAAGGACAAAATTTTGGCAGAAATGAGCTAATAAATACAGAAGTTAAGATTAAATTCCAACACTAGTATGTTTAAAAAGAGAAGGAATAAGGGGGATCACAGACTGATGCTTCTGAGCTGTAGCATTGGTGAAGCATGTTGACTCTATTAGGGGTTGAAAAAACAAAGACATGAGTCTTGGAAGAAGTGCTGCCTGAGTGCTTCTGGGAAACAAGAATGGTGAGACTTTGCCTCATATGTTGTGGGTATGTTATCAGGAGAGGCCTGTTTCTGGAGAAAGATACCTTCCTCAGAAAACCAGTAGGTCTTAGGAAAAAAGGAAGATCTTCAGCAAGATGGACTCATGCAATGATGGCACAACTCATCAAGTACACCAGATACTGTGAGGACAATGCAGGATTGAACATAATTTACCTAAGGTAGCTATGAGTCAGAGACTCAAATAGAATATGATGGGAATTTTTTTTTTTAAAGCAAGAAGCAACCGTCAAACCAAACCTCACTCTTAGGAATTGATTGTGACTCATATGGACCTTCCATCTAATTTCCAAGTCTGCAAATCTTTAGGGAAGGAATCTGCCCATTTTTCTTCCATGGAGTGACTGGTGGCTTTGAACTGACTATCCATGGCTATCAAGTGGCAATCTTTTGCTTCATTCTCTCTTTCATTGATGTCAAGTCAGAGCCAACCTGTAACTAACCTTTCCATTGATTTCCCTGGATGTAAACTGCATGGGGAGAGCTTGCTTATCTTTCTTCCACAGAACTGCGGGTAGATCTGAACCAGCAAGTGTACACACTATGCCACCAGGGCTGTTTCAAAAACAAAATAATAATTGCAGAATCTTCTCATTTCGATCTCAACTCCCTCCTCTTAATTCCCTAATTAGTAGACTTAACCAGTATTCTTAAGAAGCCATCAGGGTAGAAAATGGATAATGTATCTGGCAACAGCAAGTATTCTGAGGGGAAAAGATGGGCAGTTTCCTTCAGTAAAAATTTACTTAAAGTGTCTGAAACTTGATAGAGTGTCACTATGAGTCAAAATAAATTGGATGGCAAAGAACATGGTTTTGTATTTTTTTCAATCTAGTAATTTTAAGATTAAGAGTCTTGGGGTTGAGACCATGATATTGGCACTTAAAAATAAAGCAAAGGACTTCCTTTTTAAAATGTAAGGAATGTTTCTTATTCAGATTAAGTTTATGTTTTCTCTTGTACTTACTTATATATCTCAATATAGTCTATAGTCTTTGAGACTATGATTGCAGAAAATGTAAACTTCAGAAGGATTAAAAATCAACAAATTTATAATAAGCAATCCATGTGAAAGGCTTATTAGGTATATATTTGCATCCTCTATCTCATAATAAATAAAACCAGGACCTTTTGATGCCAGCACCTGAAGATATAAACTTAGTGATATCAGTGTGTTTATATGCATGCTTTAATATTTTAAAATTTTTCATGAAACTAAAGGAAAAATAAGATTCTTTTAGTTGCTATTTGAGACTAATGACAATTTCATTAGGGCATAGTTTAATTTGAAGGTTTTCCAATTTTAACTACATATAAACATGTTTATGCATTTACTAACAAGATGTATTTCTAGCTTATGTTGTCCATTATTAAGTATTACATGTAATAAGCTTTTGTAACATCAATTGATTTCAAGGTTTATAAGAGTTTATCATAGGTATTTGTTTTGCAACTTAATATTGCCAAGTCAATTATACTCATTAAAAATCTATGAATAACAGCTCAAAATTCTGGGGTTTTTTTTTGGTTGGTGGGTTTTTCTTTTTCAATTTAGCATAGTTATATTTTTAAAGGAATAAAAAAATTATTTCTAAAATGAGTAAAATAATTTCAAACTTGGAGAATATTAGTCTCCCAAAACAAATTTACCAACTATACAGGCTATTTAAAAATCTAAAAAAAAAGTCAGTATGTCTAAGACTTTTCATAACTTAGATTATTTCAAGTATGGCAGATAAATTGTATTCAATAAATTTAAACTTCATACAAGAGTATAGCAGTCTGAATACTTCTTTACTATAGTTTTGAAACACACATCTTTATAGTGAAGAAACGTATTACGAAATCATATTATGAAAAGTTGGAAGGTAAAAAGAGAACAAAGCTCACAGATTAAGGACCATAATAATTTTATGATTATCTTGTCTTTATATGAATGACTAGAAATATTTTTAAACTATTCATTTTAAAAGTTTATTGGAATAAGGAATATTTATATTAAGGTGTACTGATTTGTATAAAGCTATCAATAGTTAATTCAATATTAAATTCTAAAAGTAGAAAATAATATTCAGGTTTTATACAGAACTGTGGAACTGAAAGCTGTGTTAGCTTTGAATTTTAGAGTAGTTTTATAAAATACAGTACCATTTTGAATATATTTCCAGCTCCACAATAAAGAAAGATATTTCAAATATTCAAAGTTATATGGCCTCCAAAATTTTACTTTATTTCCCTGATTCTTAATCTTGGGAGGAAAGAATAACAACTCAAAGATGAAAGACAATGCCTGTGTTGAAACACTTTTGTTTACTTATTCTCTTGAATCATTTCTTGCAGCTTATAAAAATTTAAAAAAAAATTTATGAACTGACTGGTATATACTATTATTATAGAATGAGTTTGCTTGGCAAACTCTATCATTAGCTGAAAATTATTTCTGAGCTAGAAAAGTTTTATATAAAAGAATGATTTTCAGACATAATCTGATAACCTATAATACAAAGAAAAGAAATTCAACAGTTTCTGAAATAACAATTTTACAACTATACAATCTAAATCAGAGCTAAGAAATAATTCAAATTTTTAAATCTGCTTTACAAAACAAGAACATTTTTGAAAGATTTCAGACACAGATTAAATATTTTCAATCTCATTTTACTATTTTTCCTTTTTATCTTCAGTTAGCATAGTTTAATAACACATAATCACCAGATGAAAGAATGGAGGAGCTGTGGGATGAAATCAAAGATATCTTACATGAAGTGAACAAAAGGCCATTACAAAGACAGGGAAAAAACAAAGAAACCAAAATGGTATCAGAAGAAACAATGAAAATTGCATTAGAGCAAGAAGAAGCCAAAAGAAAGGGAAGGAATGCTGAACGGAAGATTTCAAAGTCAAAGAAGACAAAATAAAATATTGTAACAAAATATGAAAAACCTGGAGTCAAAGTATAAATAAAGAAGAATTTGCTCAGCATTTTTCAACAAAAGTACTGGAAAACAAATTCAAGCCTTGAGTTGCAATACTGAAAGACACTAAGGGCAAAATCTTGAATGATTCAGGAAGCATCAAATAAAGATGGAAGGAAGCAAATTCATTGAACCAAAAAGTGAACCAACACTGAAAATTTTTCAGGGAAGCTCTGATGGCCTAGTGGCAAAAAGCTGTGCTAAAGTCCTGAAGGCATGCATTTTGAAGGTACCAGCTGCTTCATGAGAGAAGAGTGAGTAATCTCCTCTTGTGCGATTAATTGCATCTGAAAACCTGCTGGAGGGTCAGCTTTGAGTTGGTTCCAATTTGATGGTACACAACAATAATAATCACAACAACAACCCTATAAACAAGAGTCTATGGTAACGAACTAAGAAGTTCATGCTGCATTGAAGGCATTGACCAAAAAAATAAAAAGTATTGTCTCAGGAACTGATGGGATACCAATTGTCATATTTTAACCAACAGATGCAATCCTGAACATGCTTAGCAGCCTATGCCAGGAAATTTGGTGGACAGATGTTAAGCCAAAATACTAGAATAGATTAATATTTGTTCCTATTCCCAAGAAGTGATCTCAAAAAAATGTAGAAATTTTTTAAAATGTCCTTAATATCACACATAAGTA